CGCATCTGCTGGCTCCCACAATCAGGCTCGTGGCCCTTGAATGGCTACTTGTTGGAAATGAAAGTAACGCGTTTCGAATGCCAGCCCAGGCGAGACTCGATCGACTTGTCTCTCGTTGGTTCTTTCTTTCTCTCTGTCGTTGGTGCTGTCTTTTTCCCTCTGTCGCTATCTCTGGTCACGGATTCGAGCGAAACGCTGCGAGGAGCCCGATTCCTTAACCCGTTCGAGATCAGGATTTCCTTAACACTAGAACTGCCGAGCATTTAATGCGATTAATATGCAAATCCTATAAAAATTGTAATAGTAGATTATTTTTCAGTTTCTTCGGACATTCGTTATAGTACTCGAATGAAGCTATTTATCAAAATCATTTCGAATATTCAGTGCTTCGAAGATATCAAGAATTGCTGAACAAAAGAATCGAAACCAGTCATTTTAACTGGCACAGTAGTTCTAGTGTTAACCTCGCGCTGGAAATTCAACGATTTGACAGAATCTTGTACAACTTCGTTTTCACCTGTGTCACGATATGTACGCTAATTTGATTTATTAATCGGTTTGTACAGACTGATAGGTTTCGAAACAAGACTATCGATGCGTATAGCACGTAATTGGCAGTTTTACAGCAAAAACTCGACGCGCTTCCCAGCGCAGAAGGTTAAGACGGCCTCTAGGAGCCAGAATTCTTCAGATTTACCTTGGAAAGATCATTCTCAGCTCGAAACCTCTAACAGTTTCCGTTTGTACAAACTTCTAACACATCGATTCATCGTACGAAGCTTAGTATTATATTCCAAACTTCACGCTGCATCAGAGAGTCACCTGTCAAATGCAAAGACTTCTGGAATACGAAAACTTTTGAAATGCAAAGACTACTATCCTACACCTATCCCCCAATTCGCAATTCGCCCGGAACGGGTCAACGTGTTCGCTATCAGCGTCACACATTAGTGACGGCTGCAATCCCATATTCTATTATCACTCAAAGTTATAAGATACGGTTTTATATTTAGGAACTGAATGACTTGTATTAATTTAATTCTTTCAATACTCTGTTTACAAGACTTACTTCGCTCGAATAAAGTATTACATTTGAGACGATCGTCACCGAAACGGACGCTGGTAGCGGAAAGCTGTCAACACATTGCGTACCGGTTAATTTTCAGAAAACTGAATTGTGCGGATTGCAACTTTCACTGAGATCAACTTGTAGTTATCACTATACATAGAAAAATTCAGATATCACATTATTATATAATATATTTTAAATAGACAATCAACTCGAATCAAATTTTATGTTTTTCTCAATGCTGTGGTAATTAGCGATGTCGCATAGCTAAGTGTCTTTACATAAAATCGAGATTTCTCGTACGCGACGTGTTAAGTCGCAGCGTCGCACGAACGTTTGAAAAGACGGTGTCGTCCTTGAACGATAAAACTCGCATTCCACGGCGGCGTAACGGCCGAGAGAGTGTCGTTGTTCCCATGGGGAGAACCTCGATCTCCGCTGGCGTCGCTCGAGGAACCGGGTGTCGCAGGTATCGAGGGCTGCCCGGGTAACCGTACACGCGCCTCCACCCCCGCCGCGAATCAATCGGGCTTCCACGATTGATCGCGGGGTGCATCAACCGTCGGCGAAGCCTCGGTCACCCGAGACCCCATGAACCAATCTCTGGCCGCTGGAACCACGACGATCTGGATCGGGTGGTGCGCCGGTTCCCGTGACTGGGAGGGTGGAGAATCACCGGGTTTCCGACGAAGGACCGATCTTTGTCGGCTATCCGATCGCGTAAGGGATAACATGCGGTTTCCACTTGGAATTGAATCACTCGGAAGCCAATGCGATTCAGCCGATTTTTGTGAATTTTAACCCTTTGCGGACGACTGTCTGCGTTTCGGGAAGATCAAGTGTTCTTGTCTTGGAACACCGAGTTGAAAACGAACGATTTAATTACTTGAACGCGGAGAGATCGGTACGTAGATTCTACTTCTGTTTAACACGCTAGGCGCTATGGAAATCTCGAGAGCATTGCACTGATGCTTTCGTAGCAAAAGTAAATCGGAACAGTTATCAATTCTGTGGCATAATTCTTACACTGCTGACTTGCGTTATTAAACGTTTGAGTGCTTTTATGTTTTGCCAAAATTTGCCAAAATTGCGAAGAGCGCAATTAGTGCCACAGTTTTGGCACATGTCCGAAAAGATCAGCAGCCAAACGGTTAAACACGTTCATTCTTAGATCTTCAGTAAAGACAGAGATCATACGAAATCCTACATAGCAAAGAAATTGAGAGCTACTGTCTCTTATGCGAATAATTACATTGTATGTTGCTAACTCTACTGATGAAAGTTCGACGTTCCTAAAACTGAGGAGTCTCGAAAGTCCCCAAGAAATTAAGTTACCGATATCGTCCGCGTCTCATCAGGAGATATAAAGCATTCCGAGTACGAAGGGTCGAGCGAGGACATCTCGATGCTCGAAACGGACCGTCCAAAGTAAGTTTCCGAAGGAAAACGAGAGGAACCGAGGAAGGTCGCGGCAACGATGCGATATCCGTTCGCGACCATGTACGAGCAAGACGGCCTCGCGATTCAGCTGATTCAAAAGCGCTCGGCGCGATTGCCCCATTCACGGCTAGACTCGGTCAAAATCTGAATGGGAAATTGGTCGGCAGAGGCGAAGAGCCAGAGCCGAGGCTGGCGGCGTGTAACGTTCCGCGATTCATAAGACCGATAAATACCGGCTAGATAGCGCACAGTATATTCCTAGGCCGAGTCTATCTGTCCGTCGGGCACGGCCGCCGCGCAGTTAGCGTGCGCGCGTTGCGGCAACGGAAAGGCACCGTCCAGTTTCACTTTTCGTGGGGAGCCGCTAAACGGCCAGAAATCTTTCTGCCGACCTGGCGGCCGCCTTGCGAAATCCCTCATTGTCCCAGGTAGCTGGCCTATCCCCTGTAACTGCGCTCCGAACGCCTGGCCTCGTAGTTTCAAACGGATTTACACGTTTCACCAACGTTTTCCTCTCGAGATCTCCGTGAAACATTCGAATATTCTCAGTAATCGACGGTTTACACTCGAAAATTCGTCGATAGGATTGTTCGAGGCCTGATAAACGGACGACATTCTTCGAAAGTAATTGATGAGGAAATGTCACCAGTGGCTGACATGGCGCTTAACGTTTTAACAAGAAATCATACGTTGATTAGATACCAAAGCTATCTTTTTCAATATTTCACGTATCGATGCAGTATACAAGGGTTAATGGTAAATACCAAAGTTAATTTTGCTGTATCAAATCAACTGGCGACTGAGAGTCTCTCGAGTGCAAAGGGTTAAGGAACGAAGCTGTTTCATTGCAATATTTTGCTCATCGATGCATTGCGAACAAACGTCGGCGTTTGGAGAGCTCAGATCTTCATATTTAGAATACTAAGGCAAAGGAATGATTTAATCATTCAAGTAGCAATCCTATTATTTAATCCAAGTATACTTCAGCTTCGTCTGCTGAAAGTTTCATATATTTCGAAGAATCTTCGTCCGCGAATCAATATTATATACAAAATTCCGTAATTTAGCATATGAAATCAAGACCGAGAGTCACCTATCGATTGCAGGGGGTTAAACCGACGATTTTTACGCTTGTTCAAGTTTTGGCAATGCGATTCAACGAATACTGCCATGGATAATGGTTTCTCTTAATAAACATCGAGGGAAGTGCCACTTCTTCGACGTTCCGTATCGTTCGTACGCGTTCTGCGACTCTCCAGTTCCAGATTTCCCGTGAACGAATAAAAATCGAACGGCAACGTCCGACAGCGATAATTTTGAATCGTTCGTCGAACGAGGTTGGACGGAATTCAAGAAACATAACGCGAGACGTACAACCGAGAGTCTGTCTGTCCGCCGTCTCTCTTCCCGCTCGCGAAAAATTCCTCTCTCTCTCCCGTCCGGCTGGCAGACGACGCGGAGAAATGTCCCCGGCGCATCGCGGCCGATAACTTTTTGTCCCTCTCCAGAGAAATTTCAGGACGCCATTAAAACCCGTCGCGATTCGGAGGAAAGGAGAATTCGGGAACGATAGGTGAACGAACCTCCGGACGGCCCGCCTTTGATCGTTTATACCCGTGATTACGGTTCCTTCTAACGTCTTTATATTATCACGATAATTATTAACCTTTTTTCGCGTCGTGTTCACTAACGATTAATAGAATTGATAGAACTACGAACTGTCGTCTTTGAATTATTCAGCTTTATAAAGTTCATTCGCGACGTGTCAGTGTTGAAAGGGTTCGAGTGAGCTAATTGGATCGCCACGATCAAATTAACACCTCGACTGACAAGTTAACACTCGTCGAAACAGTTTTCTTAATGAAACAGGAACTGAGATGTTAACACTTTCACGTCCGGTGACACCAACGCGGTGCCATTTGCATCCAAAAAACAGCTAAGTTTGTTGTAATGAATTTTATATTTTATGTTTGTACATTTTAATGAACTTTGCAAACAGTTCCGGCGACAGAGAAGAAAAGTGTTAAGATTCTTTGTAATGATTACTATCTTCTCTGTATCTCATGCATCCAATGAAGCTTAGTTCGGTGCATCATCAAGGAAATGAATGTTCAAGTTAACGTTAAAATGATGTCACCGAGTGGTGACGCAGTCGGTGTTAACGAACACGTTTGAACGATTTTAACACTAGATTCATAGATCACGTCGATTCGACGCATACCGGCGAATGTTTACGTTGATTTCGGTTGAACCATTAACCTCCGTGATGCAATAGGTCGAACATGAATGTTCTAGGAATAATAGAACACAGTGCGCAAGCGACTGCCCGTAAGCCTAGCGTTACAGAGCAGCCCCGCGAAGCTTCTCGTTCCTTTCTCTAACAATTTAAGGATCCATCACCTGTCGAACGGAAACACGAAACTACAGCCATAGCAATTTGCCCCGTTTCTTTTTGTTCCAGGACCAATTCGAGAATCTATCCCAGCACACGCAAAAGGGGATAGAGTTCCTCGAACGGTACGGTCATTTTATTCGCGACCGATGCGCCATCGAAGTGGAGTACGCCGCGAAGCTCAGGTAAGAAACTCGCGCGAGAATCGCCATTTAAGCGACACCGGTTGCCGAGGGGTTAATTAACGTTAGATCTACCGAAGAATAACGAGTTACTTGTGATCCCCTAAAAAATTCAGAAGACCACGTTTCTTGAGATTCGAAGCATTTATTACTGTCGTTCCTTCCGTAACATTTCACTTCGAAATTTCTCGCAAATTTCATCTTTATCACTTCAATACTAATATTAATTATATTACTACTGGCTCTGGCATAGATTCAATGTGTCATAAATTAACCCGTTGCAGTCGAAAGTTCACTAGATACATTTAACTTTTCAAGAGAATATAGACAACATCCTTTGAAACTAATAAGAAACCCCTAAGTTAATAAGAAAGCTATTTAGTTTCAATATTCCACGTATCGATGTTGCAAAATTCAATATCACATATAAGATCGTATAATTCTGTTATATTTGTTACATCAAATGTTATATCAAATCTGTTATATCAAATCAAGTGTGAGAAAATATAAAATTTGATTCGAGTCGATTATCTATTTAAAAGATATTACATAACAATATATCCGAATTTCTCTATGTACAGTGATATAAGTTGACCTCACTGAAAATTGTCATCCGCATAATTCGGTTTTCCGAAAATTAGCCGGTACGCGACGCGTTAATCGGATCACCTGTCCCGCCGTGTATACGCGGCGCGCAGCCACCACGGCCGATTTATCGTGGCCGTGATGGCGGCGGGACACCGGTCGTTCTTGGCCTTCCCCCACCCCCGGCGGCACCGTCTCTCTTTTTTCTTTTTACATAAATTAACAAAGGGCCGAGTGGCCGAGGTTAACGATTTCAATGGGACATCCTGTATAACGAGCGTGTCTCACGCACCCCACGAGTTCACGGACACAAGACGCGCCCGGTAATATTGTATTAAAGGGCCCCCTTGTTTGTTCCGTGAATGCCGTCTACTGTTGCACACGTTTGTTCTAGCGGGTGTCCGCGAACGACCGGCTCCTCTGCCGTCGATCGTTACCGTGCTCGCGTTTCGATCGTCTTGACACGTTAAGCGCCACGAAAATCTTAAGCGTTTCCCCATAGAGTTTGTCTTGTGCAGCAACGAAAAGTAGGAATAATTATGAATTGTTTGGCGTTGCAACGTTTGCGTTACACTATCAACTTAGTTGCCTTAAACATTTTTATTTCACATCGGTTGTCTTGTATGTTACGATTGTTTTTCAGAGGAAGAGGCTGTTTTATTCGAATATTTCACATGTCGATGCGTTGTACAAAGTTTAATATTAAATGTCAAACCCTATAATTTTCCTGTGTCAAATCAATTGGCGACTGAGAGTCACCTCCCGAGTGCAAAGGGTTAATAATCGTAAAATTAAAATCTCGTCTGCTAGCCCTAGTATAGGTGTAACTTACAAACGAGATATTAAAATGTATCTAGTGAACGATAATCGAAGACGAAGTGTGTTGACGGAAATTAGCGAGCTTTCTTCCGCGAGTTCTGTTACGTATTGAAAGCACCTTCCGTGTAATGAATCGCGATGATCGATCAGCTACGCGTGCAGCTATTAATACCGAAAAGGTCTTGGAGAAGGATCGTCGACGAATCAGCTCGCAATTAATAATCCCCGCGTAACTTCCGAGCGCGTCCATAGAAATCTCGATTATCTGGATCCCGATCGTCGGCGGCGCACAAAGGGCCGTTTGTGCCCGAGCGGATCGTTGCTACCAGTTTCCATTGGTCCGGCTTTTCCCCTATTAGAAGCAGACAATCGAGGTCCCCGGTCGGTTGCTCCGGGCATCGATCGTGTTCTCGCGTGCCGCTGATATCTCGCCGACGGGATCGAATCTCGCGATATTTTAAGCGATCCCGCGGTGTATCGCTCGCCGCGATCGAACGAGGCCGGTCGAGGGAAGTCGAGGCGCACGGAAGCGAGCCTCTCGAGAGAGGTTCTCCGCGAATTTCATACCGATTAACGCGTGGGGGATCAACGGGAATAATACGAAAAGAGAACGAATCGCATTTATGATTCCTGAGGTGATCGTAATCTGGGCTTCGAGACGATGCCGTAGATCTTGCAGCGATATTCTAAGTCTCAAGGCGGTATCGCGGTTCCCAAGGCAGTAGTGCCGGTCTCGGAGCAATACTGCAGTTACCATAACGATGCGGGAGGCCTCTATGAGATACTCCAGTTCCCAAGACAATTTTGCTGGCCTCGGAATGATAGCATTGTAGTTTCCAAGTCGATATTGTGGTTCCCAAGATGATCTTGTAGGTTTTACGACGATATTGTAGTCCTTGGGATGATGTTGTAGTTGGTAAGACGATATTGTTAGTTCGAGAATGATAGTATTGTTGTTTTGAAGATGATATTGTAGTTTCCAAAATGATGTTGTACTTCTTAAGTCGACATTGTTGCTTTTAAGACGATATTCTAGGTCCCGAAATGATAGTATTGTAGTTTCCAAAATGATATTGTACTTCCTAAGTCGACATTGTTGCTTTTAAGACGATATTGTAGGTCCCAAAATAATAGTATTGTAGTTTCCGAGACAATATTGTAGTTTCCAAAATGATATTATACTTCCTAAGTCGACATTGTTGCTTTTAAGACAACATTGTAGCTCCCAAAATGATAGTATACTAATTTCCAAGACGATATCATAGTTTCCAAAGTGACATTGTCCTCCTTAAGTCGACATTGCAGTTCCCAAAATGATACTATCGTAGTTTCCAAGACGATACCAAACTTCCCAACGCGATACCATACTTCTTAACGCGATACTCTAGTTCCCAAAACAACACCATTACTCCCTCTTAGACACCGCAGGCCCAAAACCAACATCATCCACTCGAAACCAACGATACAATCACCGAGGCGATACTCCAGTTCCAGAGGCTCGTTCCACTTAAAAAAATAACGCATCGCAGTTCCCAATTCGTCGCCGCATTCCCCAATCATCCTTGATACCTTATATTTTATTAAATTATCGGCCTCCCTCGATCGGCCGGCGCGCGTGCGAATCTTTGTAAACGATTCCGCGTGCTCCCCGCGCGGCGTCCACAGACACAGATCCATCTCGGCCGCACGTACGTACGGCTGCATATAAATTATCGCGGGCACGTTCCTTGCGCCTTAATGCGCCGTAATTTCTGCGATACGACTCGCTCGCGCGCGCGCGTGCACGCGGTGTGTACCGTTCACCGGGCGTCGCAGTTTTCCCCGGCTCGTCGCGCCGTTGATTTTCATTAAACGCATTCCGAACGGACACGCGGCCCCCGTTCCTCGCATCGCGAACGGTCTCCCGCTGCTTCCGGTCCTCCGGCGACCGGCCAATCGGCGGCGAGCGGAATCTCTCGGCCGCGACTCTCGATAACAACGAAACCGCGGATCAACCGATGTAACGCAGAAAACCGAAAATGGAAAGAATCTACGTTTTCTGGATGAAACTCGATGACTCGCAATGTATCGGTGATACAAACAAATTGGACAATAGGTTGTATGATAAAGAGGCGAGCGTGTGATCACATTTTGTTTACATTCCGGGGATGTTATGATGTTTCTTCGGTGGTAATAGATATTTCGATGCGAACGTTGTATGAATAGAGGAACGGAGTTTATTCGTAGATTTTCGAAATGGAAATCATTCTGTACAGCATAGACTACTTAGCAACCATTGGTAATCTTCAATTTTCATTATAAGAAAACTCGAATTTTGGGGTTTCCTCCAGAGGCACTGCGCGCCGAGACTTCGAGTCGTTCGCTCGATCTCCGCGAAGGAAAAGGAACGATCCGCGAAATACAAGATTCAACTAGATTCCTTCTAACCGGATCGACGGGAACGGAGAAAAACGAATCTGTTAATGCGAAACACTAGTCGCGCAAATCGCCTCTGAATCAACGTCGACTCTCCGAGTGAAATGCAGCCGTGAGGTACGCGCGCGCGTCTCGCTTCTAGCCGTGGCAGTCTCTTTTGTTCAGCTTTCTTTCTTATTTCCCAGTCGCCAATCGCACGGGCGCGTGTGTCGGTCGTTTGTCAATGAGACTGCGAGCGAATCGAATCGCCGTGGAAAGTGATCCACGGTTTCTGGATTCCGGCCTGAATTCTCGGCGACCCCGGGTATTACTTATTCAACTGCCGGTAACCTAGACCCAGCGGGGAAAGCCGCTCGGATAGGCTGCTCGAAAATAGCTTTTCCGATCGGTCGCGCGCTCCTCTAGAGGTCCACGAGCTATTCTAGAGTCGCGAGCGGAGATTCGAATCTCGGCTTCGGAACGACTCGAGGTTGTTCGATTCGTCTCGAGAGGACCTCGGAACGAGCAGCGGTTGGAAACGCTTGTAAACTCGACGTTAGCGAGAGCTTGGTCCGGCGTTTCGGAGAGACCGCGACCCGTTTTCACGAACGGTTTCCAGCCGGCGTACGGTGGATCCGGTATCAAGGACACGTCAACTTCCGGACGATAGCGCGCTCGCCGGCCGACACACATTTATCGCTCGTGGCCCGGCCATCGCGCCGGTCGAATTGGAATGAGTCGGCGGACGCTCCCGTTATTCCTTGCCACTCGAATCGTTAGCAGTAGGTTTGCGGGGCGCGTCGATTTCACGCGCAATGAATTTCGTAAACGTCTGGTAAATATTCCCGTGGGTTCGATCGCGTCGCGATCGTCTGTCTTCGACGGTACAGCTTCTCCGGCAACGGCGGAGCGTGCGACACACGCCCGTAAACCTGGCGCTGAACGATTCCGAGAGCCCTAATTGCTCGGCACTTTGCGGAAACTGTTAATCGATGCCCACACGTTTCCCGCGGCGCCTTCTGTTCCAGCTTCAGACGTCCGGGTGAAATTCGCGCGTGATTTGATCGAAAAACTTTCTAACTTCGCCGCCTTGCTTCGGCGAATACTCGATTCCCAGCGGTCCCGTTGTGTTCCCCGAACGATCGGAACACGGGTCGCCGGACCGGAGCGCACGGTAACGGCTTCCGATTCCTATTAAACGCGATTTAGCCCTCGTTCGGCGAAAGAAACGAGCTCCTCGAGATGAACTGATGCATCGCTTAATCGCTTCTCAAACATACCATTTACGTCTCGAGAATTTTAAAGAAATCGGTAACGGATCTCGGCCATAGGATTTCCTGCGAAAACGTTTGATAGGAAACCGATCGTTCAACTTTCAATTAACTGAAGAAAGATTAAGGTCTCCCGACGCCGAAGACGAATCGATTTTACCTATTCGCGAGATTGGTTGTCTAGCGAACAGCTTGCCGCAGAAGATAAACGTGGATACGCGCCTGAATTTTCGTTGTCTCCCTTGCCTCCCTGAATCGCGCGAGATTGGATCGTCCGCGTAAGGAAGCGTAGTAATGGCGTACGGCGCGCAGCGGGTCAGACGGCGGCGAGGCCGGCGGGACGTGAACGCGCATCGCTAATCTTGTCTCGTTTCTGATTGCAGACGTCTCGTGAAGAGCTATCAGCCGAAGAAGAAAGAGGAGGAGGATTCTCAGTGAGTATGAGGCAACGTTCGAGGCGTAATACCGGATCCACGGCTCGGCAGCGATGTGTGTGCCCCGTCGCGGATACCACTCGCGAATAATCCCGATCTCGAAATCCACGCCGTTTTGCTTTCCTTTCGGCCGCGTAAATCACCTTTTAATAGACGATCTCGATCCCAGAGACGAACGGTCTCGAATACGGCTCGTTTCCCCGCTGGAATTCACTCCTGGCTGGCATTCAGCCCACTTTTTTTACGCGAGCGCGTCGCTTCCTCTCGCGGACCGGCCGATATTGCTTCCCCTTGTTCCGAGATCGACGCCGGAAACCGTTCCTCTCTACCTGAATACTTATACGCGACGATCGAACACGATGATCGAGGTACCTCGATCCATTTGGCACCTCAGCGCTAAGCATCTTCGCGAAAATCGCGAGGAGAAACTCGAATTCGCGTTCTCAGACGCGGAGGCGCTCTCGGAATTAACACTAGGTTTACGGAACGCGTCAAATTGACGCATATTGGATTTTAGAAATATTATTTTGTAAATGTTTACCAATTACCTACTATCAAATCTCCGGTTTCCGCAATCTAAATAAACGAGCATCAATTCTTTTAGGAATAATAGAAAGAAGTGCACGATAAATGCCCATAAACCTAGTGTTAATTGAAACAATTTGTATTCTAATAACACTCTACTCGTCTATCGTGAAGCTAACTCCGAGAATCGACGAATATCAGTTCTAAGAACAACAGAATAAACTGCACCATAAACGTCCAGCGTTCGGAAAAGAGGAAAAGCCAATTGGCATTCGTTGTTGGCCTTTTTCAAGAGTAACCACAGCTCGCGACGAAGTTGAGACGGATTTAGACGAAAGTCCGGGTGCCCGAATGGATCGGACCACCGATTCGTCGCGCACGCGATCGTCGCGTACGAGGAACGGTCGATTCTCGACGGTTGCAGCGTCGGCGCGGCATGAAACGGTAGCTAATCTCTTATCTGTAGTCGTGGGCGGTCGCTTTATAAGTTCAGTAACTCTCGTTGCGCGCCTACGGGCATGTTTCCCTGGCGGGGCCGTCCTTCCTCCCGTTTCGCCCGCTCGTTTTCGTCCCGTCCGCGTCATCCGCGATTCGCGTGGGCCGCGCGTGATCGATCTACCACCCCCGCCCTGAAAAACGCCCCGCCGACCGCTTCCTCATAGTCCTAGCAGCTTCGTCGACGGTCGTCGCGTTTCCCTGGACATTTCGTCGCCTCGCGATTCGGGAATCCCCGATTCAAAGGTCGATCAGTCATGCTTCTCTCGAAGATTTCGGTGGATCCTGGAATCTAGAGGGCGAGGTTCGGTGTTTCGGGGTTTCCCGAGCGCGACCGCCGGTCGTCGACGTGTCTCGCGAGAATTTCTCCATTCGCGCAGGTACAGCCCTTGCAGGGCGTTCAAGCTGGAGCTGAACGAGGTGAACGATCAGGCGGGACAGAGGGAGGTGATCGCTGAGAACCTCCAGGCGAACGTGCTCAGGGAATTGAACATACTCGTGAAGGACTTTAAGGAGGACAGGAAGAAACACCTGCAGGAGGGCGCCAGGCTGATGGCGACCCTGGCCGGACAGATCGGTAACCTGGAGCGCGCGAGGAAAGCTTACGAGAAGGCGTTCCGCGAGGCGGAAAGGTCCGTCGAGAACTACCAGAGGGCGGACGCTGATCTGCATCTCTCCAGAGCGGAAGTACGTCGATCGATCCTCCCTTTATCCTTCGCTTCAACCCCGCCTACGCGTAGACGCCTACGCGGGCCTCCTGACTCTGTTTCTGTACGGGGTGCGAAATCGTCAGAGAAATCTGCTGCCACGGTTGATCCTTCGTAGACGTCTTTACTTTAGAGACTATCGTTCCTTCCTGGAGTTAATATTGTGACTGCCAAGTAAACGCTCGTCGAAAGTAACATGTCGACACGGATTGCTTGATATGGAAAAGAAATGAAGATTATTAGGAAACTGAAGGTTTATGTTAAAAGTAGCGTCACCGGAATTTGGGAAATGGCAGTCAAAGCATTAAGGATTAACACAAGAACTATACTAACAATAGATTATTTTCGGTTTCTTCAGACATTCAGTATAGTATTCAAGTCAAAGCTATTTATTTTCATCATTTCGAATATTCAATGCTTTTAAAATATCAATAATCGTGAAACAAAACAATCGAAACCAGTCATTTCAATTGGTACGTAGTTCTAGTGTTGATCTATCGAGCAGTTGGCTTCTTCAAAGTCACCCATGGAAACTATAAAAGCTGTAGAATCATTACAGTTTCGTTAATGACTTCCCGAAGCATCTATTGTCTTTCGACTAGAATTCTAGAGTTAGTAGAGCAGAGCTTCTATCGAGATAATTCGTAACAGAAGATCACGGTTCGGTTAACGCCGAATGCTCACCTTATTCTCGTGTCTGCGCGAGAAAAATTTCCCGCTAATACCGATACATGTATACATGGAATCTCTTCAGCTGGAGAAGCAGAGGATGAACATGACTCTAAAGACACAGCAGAGCGAGGAGGCGAAGACGGAGTACGCGAACCAGCTGCAGAAGACAAACGAAATGCAGACGCTGCACTATCACACGGCCATGCCGGAGGTGTTTCAGCACCTTCAGGTATATTCTCTTTTTATCTCCTCCCCCCTT